ATATTATAATATAATGCGTGAATTAAATATTAGCAAAAATTAGAAAAATTGTTGGATCTGAAATTAAAGATAATAAAGAAATATATATACAAAATATTGGAATTCTATTTTATAACACTATGCAACTCCATTTATTCCACCTGTATTATTATTCTTAGTGGAATTCAAAGATTATCAAAAAGCATTTTCTTCATTAATATCAAGACTGATGTATTTTCTATAACAACGTGTAAGATCTATAATAACGCGTAAGATGGATATCCCAATAGAATCACCAACTTCGATAATTTGAGAAAGAATATAAACGAAAATGCTCGCAATTATTACGATGATAATTTAGGAATCTTGCTTCAATGTAATTGGATAGATTAATTTAATAGATATTAAAAATTCTTTGTTTAAGCGATTTAAATTTAATTGACATAATATAAAGTATAATTTTAGAGATTCATATACCTTTTAAATTTTTTAGATTTTTTTTTTCTTGTTGATATAATTTGAGTAATTGTTTTTATTTAATGTATAATAGTTTTCCTTTTATAATTTCAATCCAGGCTTGGATTTTTTCTGTTAAAGTTTTCGCGATCTGGTTTTTTTGTGTTTTTGGCAAGCAAATTGTATAATTCAGATATATGCTGAGAGATAGTGACTTGATTAAGTTAGGTTCATAGCCAATTACTTCCTGATATGAAATATAGAAAGCTTGAAAGATAGCAACATGATTGGTCTAGATTTTTAGCTGATTATTACTTGATATGTAATATGAATTTGGCTAATGAAAGATGTACAGATGTTTTATTTGTTTGAATAGTTTTACTAAACTTTTATTCATGATAAAGAGGTTCTTTCTATAGACTAACTTGATAAGAACTTGTAGAAACTTGTAGGATAAGTCAATGTCGAATTGTTATTGTTTGTAAAAGCAGTATAATTTTCTAATTTAATTTGAACAGAAGAGGCGTGTAAAGTTTTAAAAAAATACGTTTTAGTAATAGGATTTTAAAGAAGTAAGTTGGCTGTATAAATATTGAAATAATAAGAGATAAAGTATCGGTATATTTTTTAAATTGTGGCAGCAAAATTTTATTAAATATAGATGATTGTAAAATAGTATACATGGTAAAGCTAATCATTCAATATCAGATGCGTAAGATAGTGGTACATAGTAAATGTATAAATTTATATGTATGTATTTGTAAATATCAATATGTACAAGAATTTAACTGAATAATAAAAAAGATTTGGTCAAAAAAATTTTTTTTGATATGAAAGCAAGTTTTATTTCGAGAAAGATTATCTGATTGGTTGATTTTTATAGATTTTACTCATGATTACTGATATTGTAACCGTTGAATGGAAGAGCTAATAAATAAGACAGAAGTGTTGCCAATCTAACTCCAACGGTGTATGGAGAGTAAGGCTAACTTTAGGTAAGTGAAATAGGGTTTTTATAAGTGTTGAAGAACTATGGTACTGTAGAGTAACACTTTGATATCAATAAGTGATGATAATGGGCAATGCAATAATGGGTGATGCCGTTAAGGACGATATCAAGGTGGTGATCTTAAAAATGATGATGTGTAAGCGGACAATGATCAAGTAATATTTGTGATATCTTTAATTTCACATGATCAACTAATCAATTCTGGTAACTATACGTCAGTTGTTCTTAAAGTAGTTGCGTTCTTTTTATTGAGGAAACTTTAAATAATAAAAAATTTTGAATACATTCTTTTTGTGTGCTTATGACTGTAATATTTTTAAATAGCATCATTAGACTGGAGATCAAAGATAGATTTAGAAGTGATTATCAAATTATCTTTCAACTTCGTTTTAGTCTTTGATGATCATTGATTATCATTTTATCAGCCCGGTAAAGAATTCAATAAAAAAAAAGAATAATAAATTGAATATCAAGAAAGTAGATTAAAAACGCAAGAAAAGCTCATAAAAAAAAGGTCTAAATAGCAAATAGTGTGTAAGATTAGTCTTTCTGTTAATTAAAATTTTTTTACATATAAGCATGAGCTTGAGTGTGGTCATTATTCGAAGTGAAGTGAAACAAAGTAACTAGTGTATAATCATAATCATGATTATCTAGAAAATATAATATATAATACAACCAATTTCGTAAAACTTTGGGTTTCCTGTTTTATACTAAAATTTATACTAAACCTGCCAAAAGTAAGACGGCGATTGTGCACAAATGGCCTAAACTGATGCAGTTGTATAGCACAAATTTGAAAGCATTTTTTTCTGTACTAATTTTATAGACCGGTTAAGTAGAAAATAATTATTGGAATAGTGAGTTTAAAGGGAGAAATCACTCGAGCCCTAACCCATAAAATAAGAGTTCCTTCCTGCTACTCTGTATTATCAGCTAAGCTATTATTATTTTTACTATCTACTTACAAACCAATCTGGTCTAGTGTGCTAATATAGCCATCTTTTTTCTTTATATTTCTTTCATAAAACCCTTGTACAGTTGTCTTTTTAATATTCCCTCCAAGTTTATGAATTTTCATTGCTACTGTTAAACACATCTCTTCTAAGGTAAAATTTTTTTCAATTTTAATTCGATCAAAAATTTGCTTAAATTGGTTTTAGACAGTAAAGCTAATATCTGTAAATGTTAATTGGCCTGAGCTAAATGAACTTTCGGATAAGCTTCTGGATGAGCTTATATGAGATCGATTTAATGCTTCAAAATAATTAGATACATTTTGTTGGTCGGCTTCGATTGGCTGATTTCTTCTGGTAATTGTGTAATGTCAAATTAATCCATTTTGGAGAGCTTCAATAGAAGCATTAACTAAGGCAAAATTATTATAGCATGCTTCCTCAATATTATTAATTCTTGTGGTTATGTCATTAAAAAGTTTCTGTGTCTCAGAGGCGTAGCTAGCATCACGTGAATTGATTTTTTTGATTTCAGCAGTAAGTTTATCATTTCATTAAATTTAGTATTAATTTCAGAAAAGCACATGGAAAGCTCGTTGGAAATTTTAGTATTAATTTCTGTGGTAAGTTTTTTATAAACATCAGTAAGGATTCTTTCGATTTCCGCAGTAATAGTTGTATTATTTTTTGCATTGAGTTCATTAGCATTTTAGTACTATGTGCAGAGAGATCATCTGTGATTTTATGCTTAATTTTGGTGACATATGTGGAGAGTTCATCAGAAATTTTTTGTTTGAGAAGCATCCACATAGTAACGATCCCCATGAATATTAGTGGACAAACGAACAAAAAAACAGTGCTTAAGACTAAAACTGGCATTCTTCCCGAAGAGTTGAATAATATTAAACTGGACATGATACAGATAGAGCGATGCATAGTATTTTTATATTTAAGCTTTATTGGCAGATCAAATTAGAGTTTTTTAGATACTAATAATTGATTTTTTTTTATAATATACAATTTTCTTGTATAAATACACTAGGAAAAGAGATTATTTTATACTTTATTTCTACTACATATGAAAATGAGAATTTAACCCAATATAATAACAATTATTATGTATATTCAGCATGATTATATTTTTCATAATTACATTTTCTCACATAACGGCCTGGATCCCGTCCAATAATAACAAATATCTCTCCCTGAATTTGAGGCATATTTAATAGTGCTTTAAAGAAAATCTGACGATTACCAGTTAGGGTTTTATATCAAATTAATATGCAGTAATAAAGTTGAAGTTATTACCAAGAAATATACTATTTATTGCTAAGATCATACAAGATTTGGAAGATTGCATACATTTTTTTGCGTAATTATGTCATTTTTAACCCTAATTCATATCCCATACAAATCTACCAATGATCTGTAATGAAATTTTATTATGTAGAATGGATGATGCTATAGTGCCTGTTATATTTTATGGGATCAGATCTGTAAATTGCTAGCGTAATTTCTATTCTTGTCCCATTCTAACATCAGAAACATCAGATTGACTTGTGTAATGCTAATTTAAAAAGATTTGTAATATGTGTACTATGTTAGAACTTTCTAGAAAAAAGTTGCCAGATTAATTATTTATTGATCTATTTCCTATAGATTTGTAGTTAAATCACATGCTCTCATCTGCAGATATAATTTACATGAACAATGGCACTCTTATTATTACGAAAAAATATAGGTGACATTTAATATATATATTCGAAAAAAAGAAATAATAATTTAGTCTATACAGTTTACCTAAGCATCACATTGCTGAACCGCAAAACTTAACTAAGAAATCGAAAATTTCAGACAAAGATTTTTTAATTCCAAACTCTTTTATATACTTTCCATTATCAGGTGATAATCTAACAAAGAATTTTTCTTTACCATCTATATTATTTAAATTCTTGCCAATGCTAATAGCATATAGCTTTATCATTTTAATGTATTCACCCACAGAGCTATTACCTTGTATGGGAGCTGGTACTTTATCTTTTTCAGATTCTAAAACTAGAGAGTCTGGAGGGATGACCAATCTACCTAATTAATAGTATCTCTTATAAACATATTATTATATGATCCTCTCATTATATTTATTATTGATATAATATACTATTTTTTAAATTAAAAAAATTCACATTACTGACCACTGCTCTAGGTTGATGATTATTGCTCTGAATTAGTTAGATAATCAGGAAGTTAATTAATCTTATTTTTGCTATATGCATCTGAATAAAAAACAAAAATAATGATTTTAATTAATACATTTCATAAATTTTTAAGGAGGTGTGGCTTAGCAAAAATCTTCTGAACTAGTGATCCTGCTCCAGACCTGTGGGACCACAATACTAGTGTATTTAGTGATATAACATATTTTCATCTAATGCTGGGTATTTTCTATAGCGTGAAGTAACTATAGACGAGAGAAGCCCTTTTTTCTCATAAGCTCAAAAAAAAGATATATTTAAAACTGATAACTTACTATATCCAGTTTTCGACTTTGTTGAAAAAGACGGGCCTAAATTGAAGATAAGGTATTTTAGTATATTATCATCATGGAACAAACTTATTTTGATATTAGTGCTGGTAATAAGATTGGAGTACACAAATTTTTGAAGGCTTTGGAATTATTAGATAATGAAGTTATGCCTATCAACATGGATAATAATGACAATAGCAAATCTGACATTAACAAAGAAGATAGTGATGATGATCAGGACAATTATTAGAACTAGTATCCTAAAAAAACATATACCAGATGGGATTATCAAAATCGTTTTGGTAAAGATGCTTTGAAAAACTTTATCAAGCCTGAGAAGCTCATCAATGTTTTATCCTTCTTAGGCTATTTACCATGTGCCTTCCTAATTTATCTAAGCAAGTAAAAAATGAATTATTTGTCGTATTTTCTAGATCTAATTTATTTGGAGTATTAGAACACAATGCATTATTGGATGCTCTAGCTCATCTTGTGAAAGGTTTAAATCTTTTCGATTATGATGAACTTGGGTTTGATTTAATAAACAATGTGAAATTGTAACCAAGCTTCTAGTGTTTTTAGATTATTAATATAGTTTAAACTATATTCAGTTAACATAGATTAGGTATAATTATTTTTTATCCATTTCTCAAAATTTTAAGTTTATTTGCATTTTGATAATACCGATCTTGAGCATGTTTCATTAATGTGCCACCTGGTTGATGAAGCCACTTAATTACTGTATACTGGATTATTTTAGCTGAATTTATTTGTTTTTTCCATAAATGATATACTTGATATGCTCGCTGGATAATAATAGCTAATTGGTTTTTATATACAAAGTTTTAAAATATGCTATTTGGATTTTAAACTTTCTAAATTTAGAGTTATTGGCTATATATTTATTTCTGGTTAAATTATTTTTAATACGGAATACAAAGTTTTTCCAATAATTCTTTATACTAATATCATATCCTGGTATTAATAAACGTTTACGTATATATACAGGTGGATGATACTTCACAAATCGTAATCAAGCTTCTGGTGTCTTAAATTATTGATATAGTTTAAACCATATTCGGTCATCATGCATTGGGCATAACTATTTTTTCACATTCTTTAAAAATATCTTAATTATTGAGCATGTTTATATTTTGATTTTATTAACTAAGGCTTTTATTTAATAAGTATGAGCCGGACCGATCAATTTACTAGCAATTGTGAATAATTCGTAAAGAAAGGGGAGTATACACCCCTTTTTCTCACAAGCTCGAAAAAAGATCTATCTGAGTTACTGATATATCTGGCTTCGAGTGATTTAATCATGAGAAGGCAGGATTTTTATTTCACTTCGACACTGCCAATTTATAAGAAAAAAATATTAATATAAAAATATATCTCTCAAAAGCTGGTTCAAATATTCTACATGATCAACTGCTAGATAAATTAGATTATCCTATGCCAGATTTCCATCAATGATCCAAACATACATCTTATTTATACAATTTTAGTTATCAGAACTCATTCTTGGTAAAACTAAAAAATTTTTACATTAAATATATTACTTTATTATAACAATCATGTCAAGTAATATTAATATTATTTCTGATCGAAATAAAACATTTAATCCATTGTATGAAGTGCTATTATATAAGAAGAAAGATATAATAGCTATTCAGAAAAAACTTGGTATTAGTAGCAATGCAAATCAAACAGCAATGCATCAAAGCAAAAAGGCAAAAACCTTTGTTGATTTATATAAGTTGTTGTTAAATTTGGTGGAAGATATGACATCGATACAAAAGGGACTTGGCATCATTGGTAATCCCATTTTAGAAGAAGCACTTCAAAGCAATAAAGCTCCTGAAGCTTCTACAGTTATAGAAATACATAATTTGCTTTTATGTTTAGAAGAGAATATAATAGCAATTCAGGAAGAACTTGGTATTATTGGATATTCTAATTGAGAAAGGGCAAAAGAAGCTGATGAAAATGCAAAAGCATATCTTCAAAAGTTTGAGGAATTTCATGATCCCCTAGAAGATGATCCAGGTGTAGTATTAGAGAAATATAGCAAAATGGGAGTAAAGAAAATTATGTTTACTGAAGAGGGACTTCTGCTAATTTCAAATCTTACTCTTCAACAATTGCATGAAGTTTTCATAAAAAATTTAGCTAGCACCAATCATTGCTCATGTTTAGAACAAGTTTCATACACTAAATTATCAAATAAGGCAAAAGTACAGGGCCAAGGTTCCAAAAAACTTCTGAATTAACTACTAGAGAGTGAGTAAGTAAAAAAATATATTTCAAATATGTAGGCTTCAGAAAAATAAAGGTATTGGTTAGCATATATTAATA